GTGAAGTGTGTGTTCAAGTGCAGTAAAACTCCCAAGTTGGCTCTTCCTGGGTACAATAAACTCTCAGAGCTAGTCTGTGCTTTGAGAGGACTCACGAACACCCAACCAGAGCTATCTGCTTTATCAGTGTAACACAACTTGCTTATACTGATAAACTATCCTAGATGGTAAAAGGATAAATATTACTGTAAAGGTCCTTTGTGCTAGACCCACTCACTCTCTTTTTAGCCAACTAATTCCTATTTTAAAAATATGCATCAGTCAGGAAACAAGAACTGCAGCATTTTTATAACCAAGAGGAAGTCATCCTAATCCTTCACCCACATCAGTAAAGAGAGAAGGAATTTGGGGCAGGGCATCTTTCCAGGTACACTGTCTGATCTTTTCTCCCATCTACTCTCTCTGCTTCTTGCTCCACTGCTGCTAGGTGCCCAAACTTAATTTACTTCATGATTCTCATGTTAGTTGACATTCCTCATTCCTTGCTGCTAACTTCTTTCTCTTGCTGCTGTTGCTTTTCAGTTTTTTACCTATCTTCAGCTGCTTAACTCTGCTTTGCTGAGTAGTTTATTGGTAAAAGAGTTTTCCTCCCAAAGCTGTAACAAATTTTTTTCCTGAATACAACCAGTTTGGCCAATGTAAACAATAAAGAGGACTGGAGTCTCTCAAAACTCTACCCTGTGGGGGGAGAAGGGAGGGGAAATATTCAGACTTTTTTCCCAATAACATAGGAAACTTAATATCCTCCTTCAGTAACCACAGTGATGCTGCAAACCTCCGCTGCCAGTTCAGCTCTCACGTGTAAATAAACACAATTTACAGAGTTACAGTACGGATATTATTGGGTAATCTGGGTAAATACGGGAACAAAATATTTATATTGTACGTTTACATAACCCTGCAATATCCTCGGAAGAGTTCTTTGCCTGTTTTTTCACACGCTCCAGTGGTGGCACACGCCTGCTGGTGCCACCCTGTCCATGTGCTCCAGCCAGGGCTCGCTGCCAGCAGTCACCTGCATCTCCCAGCCCAGGGCATGGGGAGCCAGGCTGTGGAAACAGAGCAGCCTCCCCTTCCTGCCATTCCATCATCATCATCACCATCATCATCACCATCATCACCATCATCATCATCATCATCATCACCAGCATCACCATCACCACCATCATCACCATCATCATCATCATCATCATCACCATCATCATCACCATCAGCATCACCATCATCACCATCATCATCACCATCACCATCATCATCATCACCATCATCATCACCATCACCATCATCATCATCACCATCATCATCACCATCATCTCCCTGTGCTCTTCCACGAGCGCCTGGGAACCTCTCTGCCGGCAGGGGAACCAAGGGGCGGATTGGGAAAAGAACTGAAATTCCCCTTCTGACTCGGTGCCGTGAATGCAGCTTTGCTGGGTGTTGTCCTGAGGGAGGGAAATTCCCTGCTGAAATTCCCTGCTGGGATTCCCTGCTGAAATTCCCTGCTGAAATTCCCTGCTGGGATTCCCTGCTGGGATTCCCTGCTGAAATTCCCTGCTGGGATTCCCTGCTGGGATTGCCGAGCCGCGGGGCGGGAGGGGGCGGCCGAGAGCCCGGGGGGAGCGGCACCGCCACATCGCACTCACTCATACACTCACACTCACACTCGTACTCACACTCATACTCACACTCATACTCACAGTCACACTTACACTCATACTCGCAGTCACACTCACACTCAGTCACACTCACACTCACACACTCATACTCGCAGTCACACTCGTACTCACACTCATACACTCATACTCTCACACTCATACTCATACACTCACACTCGTACTCACACTCACAGTCACACTCACACTCATACTTGCAGACTCACAACTCACTCATACTCATTGTCACACTCACACTCATACTTACACTCATAGACACACTCATACACTCACTGACACTCATACTCACACTCATACTCACTGACACATACACTCATAGACAGAATCACACTCATACACACTCACACTCATACTCACATTCACACTCATAGACACACACACTGACACACACACACTCAGACACACTCACACTCGTACTCACACTCATACTCACACTCATACATTCACACTCAGACACACACACTGACACACACACACTCAGACACACACTCACACTCATACTCACACTCACACTCATAGACACACTCACACACTGACACACACACACTCACACTCAGACACACACACTCATACTCACACTCATACTCACACACTCATAGACACACTCACACACACTCACACTCATAGACACACACACTGACACACACACTCATACTCACACTCACACTCATAGACACACTCACACACTGACACACACACACACACTCATAGACACACTGACACTCTCACACACACTCATACTCACACACTCACACTCATAGACACACAGACTGACACACACACTCACACTCACACTCATACTCACATTCACACTCATAGACACACACACACACACACACACACACTCTCACACTCACACTCATAGACACACTGACACTCTCACACACACACTCATACTCACACAGGCTTTTCGTGCACTTTGAATTTACACCTAACAGGGGAAACAACCTTAAATCACTCCCAAAGCAGTGTCACCTGGGTAAGTGGCTGGTAAAGACACAGATGTCACCCCTGGGAGGATCCCAGACTCTTCTCTCTCCTGCCTTTGTTTTTTCAGCAAGAGAGGAGCTGTGGGAATGACAGCAGTGGCTCCTTTGGCAAGTGAAAATTCCTGGCACGTGCCAGAGCTGGGCAGGGAATTGGACATAGAGAAGCTCCTTGAACAGGGCAAGAGCCACCCTGCAGGTCTGGGACCCCTCTGGCACTGTCACCTTGCAGGGACAGCTCCGGGGCACACCCTGAGCACTGGGGCAGCTTCTGCCTGCTTTGGCTCCTTAATGGTGTTTTTGCTTATGAGAACAGGGCACTGTCCTGCTCTGGTAAGGAAGTCAGATGATTCCTTCCACCCTGTAATTGCCCAGCAGCTGAAATGGCCTGACACTCCCAATCCTGTGCTTTGGGGAGTTCCTCCCTCTGGGGTACACCCACTGCCAGAGGAAGCACATGGGACTGACGTGCAGCTCTCACATCTCAACTCACAAAGGGCTCCTGTCCATGTGTTTGGAGCTGGAAGGCTGGGAAAGGTCACTTGTCCAGTCTTCCACCTGCTTTGGGGTTGAGGACATGCTTGGAGAACTTGGAAAAACAAATCCTTTCATTCCCAAAGCACAAAAATGAAGACACAAATATGGAAGAATTACGAGGTGTCTGTTGCATAACCAGTTGTCTCCAAATTCCTGAATAATCATGTTTATGGGAATTTGCGTTTCTTGCATCAGCTCTGGGAGCAGCTGATAGAACAGAAAGATATCCCAAAGGATGTGGATGACATTAGGAGCATTAGGAAGGTTGCAGGAGTTAAATGAGTGCTTGTCCTTCCTTAGGCAGTGTCATAGGCCTGTGCTGTGCATTAACAGGGAGAGATTTCTGTCATTAGTGTGAACTCTTACAGCTCTGAGGACTGGACTGACACTGTGCTAATGAATGCTGTCATATGGGATTTAGTGTAACAGGTAAAGAAATGAGCTTTTCTGTCTTGCTCTGGAATGGCAGCCCTGCTCTATGTTTCTCTACAAAAACCCAGCACAAAAGGTTCCCAGGATTGTTTTCTGCTTCTAATGGGGGAGATTTTTCAGGAGTGATTTGAAGAATTGTTCTGCAAGGGCTTACTGCATTTATCAGTCAGTTAGATTGGCCATTCTCCATGGATAGAATGCAGGGCAAAGAACTGGGACCAGCTTAGCAAGAGACCAAATATATTTCAGAGTGGCTGGAAAGCTCTGAGTGCTAAAGAACAGTAGCTGGAGCCTTGAGAACTTTTAGCTTTACCAAAGTTCAGACAAGATGAACATTAATCTGAAAAGTCCTGTAGAACTGCAAGTCCCCCCCTCTGAATCTCTCCCCCAGACTTGTCAGAACTTTGGTACTGAAGGCTGTTTCTTCTCTGGAAGAAACAAAACACTTCCATCTGCTTTAGTCTTCAGTCCTGACTTGGGTAAGGTAAGATGAACATCATTATTTATCCCTGCATGATGTAGGTTTATATTTTCCCTACAGAGCTGAACTTCTACAGGACAATGGAAAACGAAAAGGGAAATTGGGATTTTGTTTCCAGGCCACTTAACTGATTTTTCATTTTGATTCCGTTTTATGAGACACCATCTCTCTCTTTTTATCCAACTGTCACCATCCAGTGTTGCAAGTCCCTGACCTTTGATTGCAGCTGAGCTCTGCTCTTCCAGTCTTGCTGTCTTTATTGATATGCTGTCACAGTCAACACAAATTGTCCCTTCTTTTGAGAAGATCCAGCTTCAGAAGGTTAATTCTGCCAAGCATCATTCCTGTGGATTGGTAAGAGTGCAGTTTGTGCATGACAGGCTCCAGAGGTTTCTGTAAAATGCAGATGAGGTCAATATTCCAGTTAAGATGGTGCCTCATAAATTCTTTTTTAACAAGTCTCCCCTTGGGAACTGCCACCCTATTTAGGCTTGTACAGTCTTGTCATCAAGTGTGAGATTCTGAAATTTAATAAAAAATGAACCTAAAACTAATACCTCAAAGTCATATGTCCAAAATAATATAAAGTGATGAAAGCCTTGTAGAAATCAACCTATTATAACAGGATAACAGGATAATTATCAATCCCTTCTGCAAATCTTTAAGCAAGCACAGCTGCTTTTGTCCTTTTTTTTTTTAATTACTGTATTCAGTGACACTTTAATATCCTTGACTTGTCATTAAGTATCACATAAGTCACTGTTTGATTTATGGGGTTTAAAAAAGTCTTTATTAACGGTATTGCACGTGTTTCCTAATAAATTCAACAGCATGGTGACTGGAATAAAAAACAAACCTCATTCACACTCCCAGGTGAGAGCTACCAATACCTTTAACCATCAGATAGGGCAAAAGTGATGAATTCCTTTATTGAACAGGTGAATTGGGGGTCAAACCAATTAGCAGGCAAGCTTTTATTTAAAGGGAGGGTTAAAGTTCTCGTGAAAGGGAAGATAAAGGTTTTTCTGTCAGTTGGGAGCAGTCCCATCATTAGGACTGGCTGCACTGGGGCTGGGCAGTGTGAGCTTCCAGTTCTGCTCCTGGTAACCAAAAAATGATTTGTTTCTTCATTTGTTTCTTCTGCCAGTCACCAGAGCCCTGAAAGGGACTGAGTGGCACTGCAGCATTAGGATCCTGGGAGCTGGACACAGTAAGACTGAGAAAAACAAGACACAGTAATGGTTGGAAACTTAAAGATGACCAGAGTACAGAGAGAAACACAAAATTCTTTTTATAAAAAAACCCACAAACCTCATCTTGTAAGGAGACATCCACTGAGGATGTACCTGTACAGGTACAATCCAATTAATGCTTCCTAGCCAGGAAAGCATTACTGAGAAAGGTCCAAGGAACAGAGAAGTAAAATCTTCTGGAGAAGCAGCTCCCAATTTCCCACAGCCTGTTGGAATATGCTTTAGTTAATCTGATCTAGCTTGTTGCTTCTTAATGGCTGTGCTTTGTTTGCTTTAATTACTTCCACAAATTGTCACAATGTTAAATAGAACTTTGTAGCCTGGTTTCTACAGGTTACCTTGTCCAAAGGATTGTCCAAGAGGACTTTGCTTGCTGTCTTTCCTCCTGAAAACCTCTTCTTGACTTATTCTGAAAAGCATTGATAAGAAAGCTAAAAATACCTGCAAGATAATTAGCAAGAGAGTTTTAATTGTAATAAGGGCAACAACATATCTAGAACTGAAAATGATTGTGCACGTTCAGGAGCCATGAAATCAAAACTTGGAGGACCAACCTAAAACCCACAGCTGCCAGCCTGGAACACAAGTTCTAGTTTGCATAATCTATTCCTCTTGAAAAGAGGGTTTTAGAAGCCTAATAAACTGTATTCCAGCTCAGTGATTTCAGAGTGACTTTCAAAGAGATTACATGAAAGAGCTCAAAATATTTAAGTGCTCTTAGGACCAGGTCACAAACTTCTTTTTCCTTCTTGAGTTTCTTCAAAGAGCTCGATCTGTACTCAAGCTTTGGTTTCTAAAAGCTCTTTCCAGGCTTGTTTGGAATTATTATTATTTTCCCTGGATAAAATAGCTTGAGCTTCACAGGATAATGTGCAGCCATTAAGATGAAAACACAATACCTACTTGTATGTGGTTTAATTTTAATTTTTCACTTACCAGCATGTCCCACCAATTTTGTGTAGGCATTCCCAGTTCCTAGCACACAGCCTGCAGACTGTACAAGCTCATCTTCCTCTTGAGTGACCCACAACAAAGGATTTCTGGTCAGCTGGATCCCAAACAAGAAATTACACCGATTTCACTGTTTAGTAAATAACTATTTCAAAATTATTTCAATTGCATCTGGATCTTTTTAGTCTTTTACCATCACAGAGGAAAACCATGTTATTCAAAATCATGCTTGAGCTGTCCATACAGCATCACTCCTCTGTGCCTGACAAATCAGGAGCCCAAAAAAGCAGGAATCCTTACACAGCTCTTCCTGTGTCTACACTACACATCTCCAAGGCTTTTCTCCTCATCCAGGCTTTCTATTATTATAGTGATGGAAAATTAATCAGTTTAACAGTAACTTCCCTGTTCTGGAATGATTCTTGAATTATTTGGGAGATATTCCTTGGTGCCAAGAGCTATGGCATAATCAAATCACATTTTATTTGATGTACATTTAGAGCATTTGTAGTTTTGGAAAAGAGGTTGAAGTTCACATGCAGAATAACTTAAAAGTCAAGGAAATACATCACTTATTTGAAATCCTGGACTTCTAAAGCCGTCTCAAGATTTTTCCAAGAACTTTCCAAGAAATACTACAAGGCCTTAGGTGAATGATGGCCTTTGGAAAAAATCATACAGCTTTGACAAAATGACTCCAAAGCCAAGGCATGATACACAAAAATTGCACTTGTTTCATCTCTTTCTGCTACAAAAAGGCCTCTTCCAAATTTTTTCAGTGGCTGTGCTGCACACCTCGCAGCTCAGATCTCACCACAAACATTGCATTGTACACCTATCACCCACATGGCCATCTATTCTCATTTTTGTTATATCAGCAGTTTGTGATGTTAATTAAAAGTAAATTTACATATCTCATACTACTTATATTTATTTTTTGATGTGACAGTAATTCACTCTTCTGCATGAATTAAGTCTTGTCTGCCTGTGTTTTGTTTTTTAAAATTTTTTTCTTCAGCTATTTGGTGAAACAGCCTTAAAGCAAGGTCTTGAAATACTATCATGAGATTTCATACTACAGGCTGGAAAGATTATCTTCATAATTTGAATAATCAACACCCTTATCTATTTGTCAATTGAAATGCCATGAGCAATTCACTCACAGAATTCTGACTAGAATAACATTTAAAAGAAGTGATGAAATGAAGAAAACCTGTTTAATTTCATCTAGAGTCATCACAAAATATTTATATTTTATTTATCTGATTCTGATCTTTTATCTGATTATTTTCTGACTATTTATCTGATTCAATACAGCATCCTAAAAGCTGGCCCTGTTAAAGACTGAGGAAGGAGTGGAGTTTGGTTCTTCTAAAGCTGAGTGCAGTTTTACAAATGCCTCGGGGTGTGGTGAGGGAATTATGACGCTCCCCTTGCAGCAGAGACCCTGAGCTCTCTTCCCTGGCATGGTGAGGTAGTTTCACCAGTTTAAGCAGCCAAATACTTCTCTCAAGCTCATGTGAGGGGGAATGGCAAAAGAAGTAAAAAAAAAACCAAAACGGAAAATTCTTTCTCAGAATGTGTCAACACTGGAAGGTGGATTTTGTCTCCACCTGCTATCTTGTCTAAAGCTGACATTCTCTCCTTTGTTAAGGAAATGATACTTGCACTCTCTCATCCAGTTATTTCATCCAAACACTAAAGCAGCAAAGCTGGAGCCATGACTCAAGCATGATGGGCAGGGAAGCAACACAGAGAAGAATCCTGTTGATGGGGTATGGGTGTGTTTGTTCTACATGTACTCAAAATTTAATATGGATGCATGTTCATCCTGTTAGATGCTCGATCTCAAATTCTGCAGTCCAGAGCAGATCCTCCTTTGGAAAGATAATACAGAGTAAAGCTGTTTGTAAACTAGTGCTATTACAAATAATTTAGACTATTGAAAGTTTGCCTCTGTATGCAGTTCATTACAAGCAGAACTTACAAAGAGAACAGAATATTTAATTATAAACTAGTACCTCAGACCATAAGGCTGCATACATCAATGCTCCAGTGAACAAAGAGCTTGTGCATTGAACAGGATTGTTGGTTTTCACCATTTTACACTTGGATGGTGTAGGAATTAGGATGGATACTAGACCATTTAGACATGGGAAGGATCAGGAAAAGTACCAGAAACAGAGAAGACACAGAGACAGAAAGGATGTGTGTGAATCAGCACCACCAATAGCCAGCAGGAGAAATGAACATAACATCTGAAGTGACTCATGAGATTTCCCAGCAGATACTCACAGTGGAACTGTAGAGAGAATCTAGGGGTACCTACTTTGATCTCCTTCAAAAAGGTTTTCTTATATGGTAACAAAAGGTTAATGATACTGCACAGCAGAAACTGAGTTCTCTGTGCAATGGGACTTGTCATTGACAGACTCTTTGACAGCTGAAGTTGCAGTCAAGCGAAGTGTGAAACAATACATTACATCTATGCAAAAATGTCTTTCCTGTGTTTCTGTCTCAGTTAAGATTATTGAATATTGTTACAGATTTGTGGGGGGGGGGAAAAAAGGGCAAATTGCAAGCAAGTACCACTCAACCTGTCTAATGAAATACTTAGTCTACTAATTTTACAAGGCTGTATAAAACTAATGATTCTTCTCACAACAATTGTTTCAATCTCATTTTGGAAAGGAGAGAGAAGTCCAAAGGTGTGGATTACTTTTCAGCCCACTGTGCTCTTACATGCTGTAGCTCCCACTGACCACAGAGAGGCCAACAAATTATCTGCTACCTCTGCTGCCCTCAAATTCAGATTTAAAATCAAATTAACATTTAAAAGCAGATTAACAAGGTTTCTATAAAATTTTTGCAAGTTTGCAATACTTGTAGTGCAATACAATCCTAGCTCTGTAGCATCCTTTTTGTCCCTTATACTTAGAATCTACAGAACATTTTTGCTATCAAAATAGAAAAGGGAAATGACAAAAAGAACTACTTTCATAATTCTGTTTTAGCTGATTATGTATTCCTGTTATTACTCGCTATGCTGATTTTTTTTAACACCTCCATCCCACATTATAAGTGATAAAACACTGCAATCTCAATCTTTCCTGACTTTCTTTTGTCATTTAGTTCCGTTTTAGTCATGCTTAAATACTTCTAACTCCCCGTCAGAAACTCATTTTTTTACATAAAGTCATACTAATGTCAATGAGCTTTATATCAAACATATCATGTTAAGAAAGCAATTAGAGAATTAATGGTTTTGCTCTATTTTTTAAGTTAAATGTCAAGTAATTTTTAGCTGATTTAAAAATCCTAGTGTTGCATTAGTGCCATGTTTGTTTCGAGCTTTTAAAGAAAAACACCCCACCGAGGTCCCAGCACCAAATCCACAGACTTCATGTTGGAAGAGACTTTGGACAAAGGCCTTCTAATTTGAGGAGTTCTGTTCTGAATTATTTTATCTGCTGACATAATTCAGATGTCAGAGAGATTGCAGCCTGACCAGGCTGACCTTGTTTGTTGGCAAAGCCTGAGAAGAGTTGCCTTAAAGAAGAAAAGCAGGGGAATTTCATGGCTCTGCCTCACTTCTTGCAAAATTCTGGAAAGTAGACATTGGTAATAGGAAATAGCTTGGCCAACATCCAACTCGTTTCCTCTGTTTTTCATGTGTTTGATGCACAATCTAAATACAATTTCCTCCCCTTTTTGAAAGGCTCAGTTGAACAATGTGGATATGTGCATATTCCAAAACACTCCTCAGAACTATTTCCTAACAACATCTGACACAGATGCGTGTCAACCAGCAAGAGAATATCAGTAAACAAGCTTCCAACACTAATAAAAAAGGTCAGGGTTCGACTCACACCTACCCAGAACAGCCACAAACTGCACAGTTGGTGAGCACATGTGGTGTGCTGTGACTGCCACCCCTGCCTCACTCTGCCAGGCTCCTGGAAGAGTCCCTGGAAAGAAATCCTACTTCAACTGAGTAGTGAGAGCAGACACAGCTTAGTCATCTTGCAGATGAGCTGGAAATAATTTCCGGTTCATTTAGGTCTCTTTTTTTTTTGTCCAGCATCTTCAGGAATGAGGTTGTTTCCTTTTAAAAGCAAAATGGTGCTTTCTTTTTTTCTCCCCACTTTGCCCTCAATCTGGTCAGTGCCTCAGACTGTTTTTGAGACAAAATTTGTTACAGACATGAACTGATGGCCATGGATATTTTGCTGTATATCACAATACAGATGGTTTGGGTGCTTCAGTGACTGGTAGAAACTCTAATGACTAAACCATAAGTTTTATTTCCTCTTTGGATTCTAAAGTTAAACACTTGTTTCCAAAATTACTCGCTAGCAGCTAGAATTCCTGCTGACAGCTACAACCCTGGGGGCAATTCAGTGTACCAGGAAACCTCTAGCTGAAGAGATGGATATGTGACAAGCAGATCATTTCCTTGCTCTGCAAATGCAGTTTCATGCCAGTCATTTTCATACAATAGTATGTAGGTGGCATTTGGCTTGTAAAGGCCTCATCACTAAGGAAATGATTTTCTGTGTAGGTGCAGAGCCTCCTATAAATACTGGAAACTACGCAAAATATTTGTGTTATCACTGCCTTCTGTTGGGTATACTGTTGGGTATGCAAAAACAATTCTTTCCACTTCAAATACATTATTCTGCCTGGGTCTTCTGTGCCTTTTCACAGCCAAGAAAGGCCCTTTCAGCCTTTTGCAGCAATGAAGAATTAAACTACTTCAGTAGTTTAAGATGGCCACAGAGTTAGGCCTGTGGATCTTTCAAAGCGGTTTTGTTGCCTTAGAGCCAAAGTGAACCACTGGGAGCCCAAACAATCCTTTTATTCTGTATGCAAAGTGTCTGACACAATGGGCTTGTCCACAGTGATGATTCCAGATATTGCAGCAAAACAAATGTTAGAGTCAATGCAATTTCAGGAACAGCAGAGATCCATTAGCATAAAAGCAGCTGCAAAATCATATTCTAATTCTGCCAAAAGTGCAGTGAAGACGTCACATACTGGGATTAAAACTGAGCTATTACTTTGGATTTTGGAACAGTTCTCTGACTGATGGGAGCCTTAGGACAAGTTATCTGCCTTACAAAAGACACTAGTAGCCTCCACAAAATATTGTGAGGGTAAAACTCATTCAAAAGTCTAAATTCGTCACCCGAAGGTTGACTTCATTGCTTAGCAACATAAACTAAATTCCTCTTGCCAGATTTCTCACAGTTATACATTTCAACAACAGCATCAAAGCAATCAAAGTATTCATCTTGGGATTGTAGCAATCATGAGATCAGAGCTTTTACACTTTGCCAACACATACTTTGCCTTGTTGAGCCTTGCTACGCAATTAGAAGATGCCATTTCAAACACTGAGAAACAAGCCTGATGCTAGCAGTGCTGGAATTATGGCTGAGTACTCACATTGTTAGAACATGATAGACCAGGCTTCACAATTATTAAAGTAATTTAAAAAGGCTTTTGGTCAGCTGGCAGCAGCAGAGCTATTAGGGTGGGTGAAGAAGACAGAGGACTTGAAACAAGAGATGCTGCTGCATGTTTCTGGCTCCAGCCTGGTTTTGAGGCCAAAGATTCATTTTCAGCAGGAGCTGTATATGGCTGGATTCCAGATAGCTGCAGCTGCTGTTGGATACACCTTTCTCACTCTGTGCAACAAAAGTGTCCTGTGATAATATTGGACCTGGTGCATATCTTCTAATCCTAATAAGAACATTGGCATAAAGAGAAAGAAAGGCTATCATCCCTGTCATCCACCTTTCCCTGATTGACTGGAGAACACATGGCCTTATTACTGAACCCCTCTTTTCATTTTTCTTTGTATCAGAACAAAGTCAGAACCTTTAGAAAGAATGCTAAGGAAAAACCAAGAGTAATTTTTCAAATTTGATCACATGTGCTCTGTCCTTATATACAGCTGTATTAAAGCAGATTTGTCTGCTGAAAATACTTTTCAAAGCCTGGTCCATCCCTTAGAATGAAAGCAGTTGTCAGGAACCTGCAGTGCAGTTGCAGTGAAGCCCTTTGGGTGAACTTTGGTGGAGGTTGTGATGCTGCTCAGGTGGTAAAAAGCACAAGACCATGAGAACTGCCCTGAGCTAGCTTGGTGTGATGGAACAAAGCATGCTTTATTGTGTTTTAGTGCTCAGATGAACCACACAATTATCAAATTAACACTTCATTCACTTGGTTTTCTTGAACCTAAGTCGCACCATATTTTACAGTTCCGTAGGACTTGAGCTGCTGTGGCTTCAGAATAAATTACAGAACAGTAGTTTAATGAAATTCTGTGTTGGCTAAGAAAATATAACCTGGTTTTGCCAGTTATAAGATTTGCAGGTTAAACAGAGTTTCATTGGTTCAGTGTACAATGTCAGCATGGTTGTTGAGATTATTTAAGGATTCAGTGTGTAGAGGACTAAAAAAAATTGTTTCTAGGGCACTGAGGTGGCATTATTATGCTTTTCTTTCCGTTTCTATGTGAAACCATTGGATCCTTTACAGTAAACCTTAAAATGGATTAAAACCTAAAAATTGATTTAAAACAAAAATACAGTGGATAGAAGAACCAAATGCAAAATTCCTAAAAAACTCATTTAAATTAGGAATAGTAATAATCATTAGATTATTAAGACTCCTAAATACATTGACAAAGCTGTGCTTGGTACTCCTGTTTTTTACTAAGATATGTAGCTGGAAAGGCTGAATTAACAGGTTAAAACCAGCAACAGTTGTAGAATTCTCTGTGGCTAAAACAACTGGTTTTAGTAACATATCTCAGTTCCACTATGAAATTCATGGCTTTATAGTGAAGACAGACTTTAAGAAGGCATCCTTTTTTGTTCCAATCACACCAAATCACTTTTACCTGCTGCTGGGGGCCTTGCTTAGCTGGAAATATTTTATATATAAATATATAAAATGTATTAAAAAATAATATCTATATATAGTGTAAAATATGATTTTATATATGTATAAATGCATATATATATGTATAGTATAATATACTGCAAGATTTACCTCAAGATTTCTTTTAATTTAGATTTAGACACCTTGCCTTATTTGAGTCACAAGTTTTGTTGTCAAGGAACAAGGGAAAACTCTACTGACACTCCAGTATATGGGTTTATATTCTTTGGGCAGTGAGAAAGTAGAAAATTTTCTAAATCGGTTTTCTAAAAATATTTTGTTAATACAAAGGTATTTTTCGTTTTGTGCCTGGGTAATCTTATGAAGCAGAATGACAAGTGTTTGTAGAAAACACGGCCCACTGACATGTGGCAAACCACTGTGCACACTTTACACACGCTTTACAGAATTGGGAGTACTGGCTACTTCCATAATATTGTTTGAAGAAGTGATTTTCACTGTCCAAAGGCCAGGAGCTGTGTTCTCTCCATTTATGCTGCATAGACCCTTTTTCCAAGCATGATTTCTCCAAGAATTAGTGCAGTTATATAGTAGAAATCACTTAGACTTCACAATAAATGCTAATTATTATTGATAGTAAAAGATTTTAAAATCATAGAAAATTCGGCGAGTTAGAAAGAAAGGCTTGGCAAACCCTGGAGAAAATGTTAAAAGTAGGCCCTGGGAAATGTTAGGCCTTGTGCTTGCTAAGATCATGTGAAACTGCACCTGTATAGTCAGTATATGATAAATGATATAATTGTTAGATGGGATTAGATAGAATTATTGTTTAAAGAATCATAAGAAACTATGTTAGGGGTTTGGGGGGATCATGAGAAATCCATGCTTGGGTAAAATCAATGCATACAATATAACAATGTAAGTTTAATAATTAATATGAAAGTTATATAACAATAAAGTATAAAAGCATGTTCAACTCAAAACCAAGTCGGGTTGGATTTGGGTCTGTGTACCCCTGACACCCAGAGCTCTTAATAAAGCACCTTCATATAACCATTCAGTGATGATGTGTTCCTGAATGCCAACATCATGATTCTGAGGCAGACACTAGAACTAAAGAGAGTAAATTCTCAGCTGATGTGGACACTTTGGAGCTACTCTGTCACCAGCTGAAGTTCTGGTCTTGAATTAAGAGAAGGAAAGATATGGAAAACAGGAAGTGACTTTATACAGATGTGTTCTATTTTTCCAATAGTTACAAATCAGAAAATATTTCCTTAGTGTGCATAACACCATCAACATGAATTATTTAAATATTTTAAATCTGCAAACTCCAGCAATGGAACAGGGGCTGCAGTGCCAGAGTCCTTGTGCCTATAAACCCCTGTGACTCTTCCCTTCACTCCATGAGAGAAGCTTTATCCTTTCCTTCCCAGTGTGCAGCCCAGAAAGATTTTTAGCTACAATTTTCTTAGAGTTATCAAAAATGTTGACTTAGCAAAGATTTTATCAGCTTTGCCTTAATTGCTAGAAAGGAATAACCAGTGATAAAAATCATGTTCCTTATTAATATATAAATAAATTATGATAGCAGTCTTTCTATCTCCAGGAGGTTGGCTGAAAAATGGCTTGTCATGGTTGGGTGGCATTTACTTTTCTATCTGTCAATATTTGGAGGATTTTATTACTTTGCAGTGCCAAGTTTAAAATGGCTAATGGAAATACTAAAATGGAATTAATCTAACTAAATAAAACTGGTTCTCCATGTGTTATTCCCTTGACAGTAGCTTAATGTGCTTTCTGAAACAAAGCTATGGTAGAAAAATGGGTTATATTTAAATTTATGTGTTGTTCATTTACTTACTCTCAGAAACTTTCTTTTCCAACAGTGGCAAGCCATGGTGCTTTATCATCACTATACCTCAAATATTTATACAGGAAGGAGGGTTAGAAGTGGCCAGAGGGTTTCCAGATACACTGACTTACCGAATGTTCTACTTTTGGAAAGCAGCAGTAACACAGGGGCAGCTGATTACCCTCACCAATAACAGCACTGCTGTGCCACAGGTCAGGACTGCAGAGTTTGGCCAGTCTAGCAGGGGTGGCCTGACATGAAAATTACACACACCTCTAGCTGGAACTGCAGTCTTTAACAAAACTACAGGTGTCAACCTGTGCCAAAAAAAGAACCCTCTTGCCAAGTTAGCTTTGTTGCCTGCAGTAACAGCAACATTTTGTCATCTTTGGGCTGGATGCAGCCTGCATTTTCCAAGGGAAAACTACAGTAGTTGCTGTTCAGAGACATCAATAACAAGTCTATTCATGAAAGAATCGTAGAATAAGATAATTAATCTCCCTCTACACTTCTCATTGCACCACTTTTAAACTTTACACACTGACTCCTACCTTTTTCAGAAGAGTTTAATGAGTTACTTTCAATAAAGAAATGCACTCTTCCACTCTGGAAATCAGGGAACAGAAGACCCAGGAAATGAAATGAAACTCTGAAAACAGGAAAAGCATTAACTGTTGAAAGAGAGTTAAATTGAAGAACCATCAAGGCACCAGGAGCTGAGAAACACAAAAGATGATCTCATTGTCAAAGTAGCAACCACTCTAGCCAAGATTTGGGAGCTGTGGGACGCAGAGATGCTGCAGGTATCTGCAGGAGAGCTCCTGTTCTGTGCCACACGGAAGGACTGTGAGATCTGATGGATCTCACAGTTGGCAGCAAAGCTCTCTTGCAGTTGTGAGCACAGATTTTTAAGTAGCACCCAAGGCAGAGACAAGACACACTAATAGTGCACACAAAACTTGGAGATGACAAGAACCTTTCCATTTTAGGCACTGAAAACACAGCAGGTGTTTTGTAACTACACGGAGAGAAAAGGGAATGGGAAGCAACTATGGCACAGATGTTGCTTTGAGTTCACCCGCCTTACTTTTGGATTGCCTTGGCCACACACTTCATTCCATTTCCTTGACATTCATTTCCTACCTACAGATTCCACGTCGGACAAGTGGCAGCTTTGTCACTAAGCTGACTTTAGCTCAGACTCAATCCTAATACAAACAAACCACAAGTATGGGAGTTTTTTTACACCTTGGAAAGATTAATTCCTCCAACAACCTGTATGAAGTCTCAGTCACATCTTCATTTTCATCTTTTAAGGTGTCACTATCAACATGTCTAGGTCTTACCTATCTCTGCAGGGACCCTCTGGCAACTGTGCAGGTACATCATTAGTGCACAAGAGATAGATGCAATCCACTTATTTCTAATTTACTGCAGAGCATCACTCATGACATCCAAGTCACCGGAAAGGAATGCAGGGGAGACTGAAAGGCAGAGTTTCTGTGAGCCATGCCCCACCTTCTGGCTTCTTATCAGTTTCTTTTTTCAAACGCTTCAACTGGTCCAAGGTCCTTTGTCACTCATTGGTATAACTGCCATTAAGAAAAATTGTCACTTTTTCTCTTGTTTTCTGTCTACAGAGCCATGCTATCTTCTGCTATCATCATCTTCAATGGAATCTTTTCCACTCTTCCCTTAAAATTTTCTCTGAGCACCAGAGCTCAGTTGACAGACACACTGGAGGGATCCAAGCATCGTGTCTCATTCCAAAAGAGATGGAACTAGAAGGCTGGAGGTGGCTCACTATGAGAAAGCACAATATTTTGTCTCTTGGGACAGTCATGCTGCCCATACATTACCTCACATCACGATAAGGCAAAGTTAGTCAGCTCAGTCATTGCTCCAGAGCATGAAACAATCCTGAACCACGTGGATTTCAAATTACAGCAAATTCCAGAGGTGACTTTGAGGACTACAGCCCAAGACATCAATTTAACTATGGCAAACAGATCATGGATGCAAGAAGTCATGATTCTTATCCATAACCAGAAGCCTTGAAACTTTTAATGGCAATTCACTGTTGGTAAGGGTAGTAAGATAACCCAAGTAAGTTAACCTAACTCTACTTTATAATTGCTTGCAATTATAAATATATATAATATAATGGATATATTAATTATAAATATTATCCATGCAGTTCATGGACCAAATTATCTTTTCTAGCAATAAATATTCTTCTGACCAAGTCTCACTGGCAGCAGCATAGCCTTAGCTGTGTGATCTGCCAGGAGTGGACTTAGAAATGCTACATCAGTCTTGACCTTCATCCCAACTTCTTTTAGACCTGCAAAAGAAGCAAAAGGTCCCATCTGTGCTGTCCCATGTAAAACTCAACATTCAAGACCACAAAACACAGGTGCTCAGAAGTCATACAAATTCACTTGACCTCTGAATTGAATGCAAGAATTAGTGTTGGGTTTCGCCCTCTTCCTTGAGCATTTCCCAGCAGGATCAGCACCTCCTGTCACTCAGCTTTCAGGATATTTGGTTGTTATCAGTCTACATGCAGAAAGACTTTCTCATAAGACACTTTTATATGTGAAGGTTATCTCTAGAATTATAGAAGTAGCTTTAAAGTCATGAATTCTGGCACACACATCTAGGACACCGTACAGATGCATTGCCAAAAATGTCATGGTATATAATGTTATACAACTCACAATTAAATGGCATCAAGATATGGTCATGGCAAGAAATAGAAAGATCTCTAACAAGTTAATATTGAGCCATACCTCTTCCAGTCTGCAGTTACAAAATAAAGAAGTTACAGGGGTCTTGAGCCTACAGAAAAATTTATACAGAGGGTGCGGCCTCGCGTTCCAAAATGATTTTTCCACAAACTGATGAAAAACATGTTGACAGCAACTATTTGCAATCCATCAGTAAATCAATTTTTCCCTACAGACTCCTGGGTTGTAATGAACTTGTTCATTCTGAGTGCTCTGATCTTACAGATTGAAACATGAATCTTGTTGTTGTTGTTGTTGTGGTATGGTTTATGTATAGAGAAGTATAGTTTTGTGGAAACTAGCTTTATCCATATAAGAAAAAAAAAGAACAAAGAAAAAAATACTTGAGTCCCTGTTCAGGACTGGAATTTGCTGCCTATTAGGTTTGTGGTTGAAGCAGCTCTTAAATCTGGGGTTTTTATATAGGCTCTTCAAATCATAAAAATGTTACCACGATTTCTTTAAAAAATATTCTGTGGAGGAGGTTTTTATTTTGATGGGACAGCATCACCACTGCTGAATTTGTTTAGCTGAATGTATTACACTGAACTGTAGACCTTTAAATTGATTTCTCTTCACTTTAATAAAATTCTCTGATGTTAGAATGAATTGATTACATTTATGTATTTGTTGGCCAGATAAAATCAATATTAAAGTTAGGACCTGTAAAAGTTGGTGAGTTTGGTCCTGGAATTTAAAAGATTAGCTGCATGTGAAAGGCCACGATGCTGCTTATGAGGTGGCCTGTGGTTCATGCATTCCTTCTTGCAGAACTGTTCCAAATATTTTTTGGCTTTGCAGGTACCATGAAGGTGATTTAATGGTGTTTGTATTTCCAGGGGATTTGACTCTGCAGCTCGTAGCCTGCAACATTTCCTAACCTGTCATTCTAAAACTCCAAGTCTCACTCCCTCCCATCACCATGGAGGAGAGGTTCTGAGAGCAGCTCATTGTCATTCCCATGTGCTTTTCCCATCACCACAAGTGCTGCTTATGCGGTTCTATTATCAACTTATCCTTATTCTCCTTGTTGCTTTGCTGTCAAATTCAGAATCTCATCACTGACATGAGTGATCTCCTTGTTTGCCCAGCCATTCCTTGCCAGGTCTGATGCTGCTGCACTTGCTCCTGACAGACTGAGCCAGGGAAAATGGCCCAAGCCCTTGGGAATGCCTCAAGTTTTTTTTTTTTCTGCTTATGCACTTGCAATTCCATTGTGTGCTGCTCTCTTCTGCTACTGTTGTGCCACAATTTTTTTTAATTTTTAACTTCTGGAGAGTTATCATCCCAACCAAGGAAATGGCAGGTGAACTTCACCTCCCAGTTGTCCAGACATTTTGTTGGATTGGAAGGGAGATGAGGAAGCAGTGAGCAGAAGGCCAAGAGAAGGACAAGAAGGCAGTAAGTGGGATTCTGTGGCAAACTCTTTCAGGCTGATGCAGTGCATGAATCATAGAATATCTGAATAAGAAAGATTTCTGTTCCAGGCATCTGAAACAGGATCCTCTGTGGTAAAAATCTCCACAAACTCTTAAGAAACTGAGCAATGGCTGGAGATAAAGAGTGGCCAAGGGATGTTTGCCTTACAAAACAATTTCAGGAAGTAGCTGAAAATGTCCTTGATGCTGTTTTATACTGGTATTCCATTTTTATACTCCAGAGCAGATAAAAACTGTGAAAAAAAACTAGCTCTTGGATTAGGGCATCTCAATATAGGCTTAGTCTGACAAAGTGGTGAGTATGCTAAAATGCAGTTCTACAGTAACTGAGGCTGGGACACGACTACAGCTAAAGGACACAGAATGATTCACACAAACACGTCTCAGTGGTGTGACAGGAAAAAGAAGTAAATTTATTTTCTGACTCCAGTATTTATAGATTCTTGACTATGACCAAGGATTGGATAACTAAATTGCCACCTTCCCAATCACACCGGGCATGTGAAACATCCATTTAGTTACCTTCCTGGGAAAGTAACTAAAACTATGAAAACAAGATCAGAAGGTTTAGTGTTCAGGGCGACATATAGCAATTTTTTTATTTTTAAATTTTTTTTTGCTGTTAAAGTTGCTCTTTTGCATCAATTCCTTAAGCTATCACTTTTACCTTAGACAAGTGATTTCCTACAAGCTAAAATTTTTCAGTTTCACACATGAACAGGGTCAAAACCAGAAAGGCTGCCAGTGCCCCTGAGAGAAGCACAAACAGTGAAGAAGGGTATGGAGGAGCAGGTTTACCTGTGGTTCTTCCAGGCCTACACAGCTGCAACATCTAATTTGGACCAACAAATATTGCAGTGCTTAAATTAATGCTAGTAGAAGCCATTAGATGTTCCTGATTTAAATATACAGGAGTTCATAAAGGACTAGGAAGTAAGTCTGCCTCATCATAACATCCATCTGATCTTTCCAGTTCTCTCATTCACACTCAGTTCAGAAAGCGGCATTGCAGACATGATATCATTACATTTGCATGTCTAACAAATATTATTTGATGTGTATTATCAAAATCTGCCACTTTTGATAAAGATACTCTGAACCTTCTATGTGCTTAGTCAGTTCTTCAGTTCACCACGGAATACTAAGAGATCTGGAATGTTCCATGGTAAGGATCAGTTCTGAGACATAAACTATGTAAAACTGAACATAGAAAGTGAAAAAAGCATTTTCAATGTGAGAATGAGGTGTCCTACATGCCCAAAGTTTATTGCCAGGAGCTTTTTCTCAAAGGCAGCCCAAATACCTGGAGAATCATAAAAACTGTTGAATTATACTTAGCCATCTTGCTTTGTTTACACACTTCAGATGTTGCTAACTCTCCTCTAGGCATGAAAGATGTTGAAATTTTACCAAAGGCGAAAACAATATGTGTGCAGTTTGCAAAATGATTTAATTACTGCGCAGTTGGTTGGCAAGAGGGATGCTGAAAGCCACACAATTAAGTTACAATCAGTGGTGGGCATATGCAAGATTACATTTTGAGGGAAGGAAAATAAAAAAAATGGTTGTTGCAAATACAAGACATGAAAGATGATCAGAGCAATGATAGCTGAGGCCAGGATTTCTGAAGACATTTGGGTAATAAATTGGTCATATATGGCCAATATCAACTTTCTATGAAGTTCATTACTTGTTTCATTACTTTTTTAATGTCCTGAGGCTTGTAGTAAAATCACTTATTAGCCTTGTTTGCTTTTCCCTCTTCCTTTAGATTGAGAAAAAAATTTCAGATATTCTGATTTACAGTAAATAGTGGGGAGGAGGATCATTGTGAGGATTTTATGCTGCAAAACTGGCACAACAGTTATTAGGGAAGGTATTTGCCCATCTCATCAGCTATCTTGTATACTAATTAAACTGATGGATTATTAGCCAGGGAGAAATCTTCAAAGCTGTTTTTGGAATGCTGGAGGCACTTTGCAAAATCAAAAATGCAAACAACTTGATGGTTAACAGGAAATAATTAAATGCACAAGTGATGTTACAGCACTGCCTGTGGCTTTTTACAAAGCCTCTTCCCCCTCCCACCCCAAAACAAGTCTGTTAATGGCACTAAGCTGAGTAACCCTCGAACACTTACCTTTAATATGCTGCTGGCTTGTTCTCTGGAGAAGCTTATTCCTTATTGACATTTTTATTTGCTTTGCATTGCTTTGCAGCGTGGACATGGCATCTGGGCTGAGTATTTTTCACTGAATCACCTGCCAAGTCACTCGTGCAAATGTGCCCATAAACAACAATTATACTCTCCAATATTGCATTTAAAAAAACCTTGGAAAGGCCTCATTAAACCTGAAAAGAGAAATCCTACCCAACATGTTATTTCTGTCTAAGCAAGTGTACAAACAGTCTGAAACCATGAAAATAAAACATGGGAAAATATTTAGCAATATCAGAACTTAATTGAAGTGTCTGACACACTAAGTACCTGCGTATTCTGGCAAGATGTAGTCAATTGAAAAATTTAATCTCTATCAGTTTATCAAATTTGTACTTAAGGGTGGCCCATTTAGTACAGGTGCAATAAAATCACCTTCACATTTTCAGCTTCCCACTGGATAAAACAGGAAAATTTGAGAAACAGAGAAACCAGGAAAATTTGCTAAACTGTGGTTCTGCTATCACTCCTCCTCAGAGCAAAGCTAAATGACACAGAATTATCTGTTACTAGGTGTGTATAGACCAGAAGCTGTAATGGTGTGAGAAATCATGTGCAAGGAGGCTGACTGCTAGTTCAGATGGATCAACTTCATGTTTTCAGCTAAGAGCAAAGCAGAATTTTAGTTAGTGCTGGCAGTTGAGTTGGAGCTGTTTATTCTCCAAGATGAATTTGAGCCAAGTATTTGATGGTATTCAGCAGTTTACCCTGATTTTTCCAGCCTTGTTTATGAATAATGGCAGGGCTCCAGTTTTTATGAATTTAAAAAAAAACCCAAACATAAAAATGGCTAAATGGGATTCTATCTGCCATTTGGTAGAAATTTAAAGATGATGTGAATGCTAGTAATGGATTTTAAGTTTGACATGTTGGGCCTTGTTAGCAAATCCCACCCTTCTAAAATATTCTTCTTAATCCCATCACTAGCATGCAGAACCTCCATGTAAATGATCACTCTTTCAGGAACTTAACATATTTCAGAGGAAATTTTGGCAGAAGAATAAGGACTGTGGGTGGTTTTTCTCACTAATGTGGTCCTTGTAAAGAATAAAGCTTGCTGAAAGCTGTTCCTTCTGTTAAGATGTCAGGTCACAGTCAGCTCTTTCTAATGTCAAAACAAGAGTAAAACATAAGAAGTCCCTTACCCAAAACCCAGACCCATAATTTAGCACATTTCTGAAGTTTCCTCTCTAGGTGTGTTATGTGATTTGAGATTCCTTAACCTACCCAATTTGACTGATATCCAATAGGAGCCTCAGCATTCCCAGGATCAGGATCCTTCCTTTTCCCCAAGAGTGACTGTGGAAATGGAGAATTGTATTATTTGCATTGTCCAGCATCACTTCTGCAAGCTGGGACTTCCCATCTGTGGACTGATGTTGCAGTGAGGGAGGCTGTGACAAACTTTTAGGTCCCCTGACTTCAGGGCAGAGGGTGGAGAGAAAATAGGAGTGGGAATGATGAAGAAAATGACTTCAGTGAGAAATAAAAATAGGGACAATGCCCAGAAACCATGTGCAGTTTAGAGACAAGTGCCACAGACCAGAACCAAGGGAGAAGTAACAATAGATGGTCTTGGGGTGGAAGATTCTAGAAACAATACCATATGTGGAACACAAGTAACCAATAGGGGAGTAGAACTTGGGCTAATTAACATAACAGCTCCAAAAGGCTCCTGGGAGGCGATTTCAGGCTTGCCCTGACTTAAATGCTTCCCAGGGCTTAAAACTGAGACTCAGTGTATCAGGGGTGAAAGCTGGCTGATCCTGTGTCTTAAGTCAGGCTCATTCCCACAGACTGAGTTTTGTTCTTGCTCACCTCTGATTCATTTTGCTACATATATGCCTACAAAACATATTTTGTACTATTAAAGTGCCTTCCAGAATGAAAAATACTTGTCTACACGAAAATTCAAAGCAGAATTTCTCACAGAAGTCACTGTGAGCGAGACATTTGCTGGTGCTCTGTAAACAACCAGGTCTTTGACCTTTATCCCAGCCATTAATTACAACAGAGTGGTCAAATTCACAGGAGCCTGAATGCTCCTCCCTAATCCCACATTGGCCCATGATAATTCCAGCTCTCTAAGCAGACCTGATGAAGCTCTTGGATTCCTTGCCTCACTAATACTGGTTTTACCCATGAGGAAATGCCTGGCCAAACAAGACAACAGTGTTATATAAAATTCACTTTCCACTGTGCAGGGGCAGAAAGTACTGAGGAGGGAAGGAAACCCCAAGAAATTGTTGCTTACTGATGTCTGAGCAGCTTTACCAAGAAGGTAGAGGTCTGCCTGGGTGCTTTACCTGAGAAAAAGCAAACTGTGTATCTCAGAGCGAAAACCAGTATGATTACACTGGCCATGCCCTCAGGGGAGACAGAATGTGTCTGGCAGAATCAGTACTTTGTGGAGTTAAATTGTGATTTAGGGACTGCTCTTACTGTGAAAATTTACCACTGGTAGGAAAAAGGTAGAGCAGTGCTCCAATGCTGTGGTACTGTTAAATTCCCCTCATTTGAGTGGCAGTGCACTGTCTGATGAGACTGTGCTAGATAAAATCTTATTTCCAGCACAAAAAAATCTTTAGCTGGCTGTAGAATGGTGCTGACACGTTTGCTCCAAAGCAAGTAGTATCTATAACATGCTGAAGAATGGTGCTGAACAAGAGATTAAGAAAAAACTCACATTGCTATCGTTACCTTTCTTATGAGGAAGCAAAGTTTTGCATAAAATGAGAAGAATCAGTGTAGGACAGCACTGATATGGGTACTGATTATGGAAACAGGCTCAAGCAGATATCTTCCTTCATCCTCAGGCTTCAAAAGCCATTTCACAGTTCACAAATCCCTGCTGGTGTTTGGCACTTCCACTGATCAGACACAGAATAAATGACAAACCAAAGGAGAGCAGGAAAAAAGATAATTACTGTTTGTGGTCAGAAAAGTGTTTAATGTTAACCAGAAACATTGTTTTTCCCTTCGCCCATTTTGTAAGAAACAAAACTCTTTATGGAATGCCTTATTTCCTCAGGCCTCTAGCCTTAGGAAAAATCTGGATTTTAATTAAAAGCCTTCCTCATGTTCTCTGACAGTAACCAGGAAAACAAGTTCAGGCCATTTTCTCAAGCACCTGAAAGTGCTGAAAGAGAAGCTTTCAGCATAAAAAGCAATATGCAGAATCCTTCAGACTTTAGCAGCCAAAGAAATGCTTTTTCTAACCTCGTTATTTGAGAAGTTCCTACATTAGATACACATTAAGGCATTGACAGAACACAAAGGTTCCCCTTCTGCTTGAATCATAAATTAAATTAAAACAAAAGCAAGTTTTTCTAAGCCGTATTAATGTGATAAATTGCAAAAGACAGAGAACAATTACTCAATACACAGCAGAGAGGATTAAATAAAAGACTGTCCATTATAGGGCATTATTATGAAAAGTGCTGGTCTTCTGAGATGCTTTTCTACCTTGATTAGAAGTGGGGCGTGTTTAACAAGTGCTTTGTCCTACAAGGGAAAGTACAAGCAATGTGCATCTAAGAAACTCAAAAAACTGCTTTCGTTTTTAAATATTTAGGTTCTAGATCAGGAAAAGGGTAAACCCATAAACCCACCAGTGCCTCATTACTCTTATGTTCCTACTGTCTTAACATTTTCATAGGAGGTTACTTTGAAGTGACTGCAAGATGAGAACATGCAGCCAAGCAGGTCCTGGCAAATGGTAGCAGGAAACACCCAAACTTTGATTATTTATGCTCTTTTAATATATATTCTCTTATACTTCTAATTACTCATCTGTGGTACCCAAGCCTTCGGGAAGAAGAACTCAAGTACCCAGCTCCTATGTAATTCCTTCTCTTCACTCTTCTTCTTCACCAAAGCTTCCTGAAGAACATTTTACCTCTTGTTTGTTTTGTTGTTTTTTTTTTATTTTAACAAGGCATAGTACCAAGAACGTTAATATTCAACTAGAAATTTGAATTAAATTTTAATTTATTTCTTCTTGATAGGTTTTATTTATCAGTATTTTCGTTTCAGCAGCTTCTAGAGTTTATGGCAGCACACACATTTCTGTGTTGTAACAAACCACTGTTGATGGTTTATAAGTGAACATGGAATTAAGGATTAACTGGTAAATATTACTGCTGGTCCCAGACATCTCTCACTGCCCCATGACAGTTTGGTATAATCTTTCCTCTCCTGTCTGCCTGATTTTCAAGGGGATTTCTGATTTTAATTCAATGGGAGTCACTTTTTATTATATTCTGGGATTTATAGGTAAGAAAATTGGGCATTTTTCATAGTTGTTTTGTTTGTGTAGCATTCAGCATGTTTTAACCCATTTTGGACACTTGCTGACCTGAATTTCTTGTGTGCTGGGCTAAACTGATCTGCCATTCTGCTCCCACAGAAACAAACAGTGATCAGTGCCACAGTTCTGCTTTTTCATCAAGTCAATGCACAAGTGTGTGCATTCACTGACACGAGGAGGACATGGGGAAATGCCTGAGGAACCACAGAATATCCCAGGTTGGAAGGGACCCACAAAGATCATCTGATTCCTACCCTGGCACAGGACAACTCCCAGATCCACACCAGGTGCCTGAGAACATTGTCCAAATGCTTCTTGAACTCTGGAAATAGTTTGCAAATTATTTTAACATCAGCCTCCAGGAGTGATTTGTTTTTCACTGGTTTTGATTGTATAACAAGAAACCTGGAAAATTTTACAGGGTTCTTCTTTTACTCACCTGGACTTTTAATGTGTTCTTTAGAGCACAGGTGAGCTGAACTGAAAAGGAAAAACTGAATTGAAACACCTTTCAAAACATCCTCATCAATCCAGGTATTGTCAATGATGATTCACTTACTTCCACTAACCTGTGCAATACTTTTTGTGTAGGTTAGTAAAGGTTTTATTTAAATTTCATACGAAACTTGACAGTTTTTTTCTGAAAGTAGGAGGAAAAGCTGAAGACAATGCTAAAGCACTTTCTCTAGGAGATTCTCTGGTCATCCTAAACCTCTGATTACTCAAACTCCTGTTCCTCTTGCTGAGCTCATGGCTCCAATTGTTTATGACCCTCTCGAGGGGAACTCCACCAACAATGTTCTGATATTTGCCTTTCTGTTCTTTCATACAGAAATTACAGAACACATATTTATCTGCCCAAATTTCCAGTCTCCTCCTCTGAACTCCCCTGAATTGTCCTCTTTGTTTTTTCATGTCCCCAAATTAGTTTCTCGTAAGTAGTTCAGCCCCTAAAGCAGTACAAGAGACTGTGGACCAAAAAACACAGCTACATTTACTTGACAGTTATACCTAATTTCCTGGGCATTGTTTTAAAATCCTCTGCTTTAAAGAGACAGACTATGAAATAACCTTGGTTTTTTGATTTTTATTTTTTTTTTATATAATACTTTGGGTTGAGTTTTTGCAGTATGAAGTTGTAGGGCTCTGAGGAAGGAGAAGGATGTGATAGGTGTGGATTATCTGTGATTCAGTTCAATTGAGTTTCCTGACTTTGCTTCTCAAAACATATTTGGAAAGACACGAAAATAGAGTTCTTATTAAACCATCAGACATATTTTTTTACTTGCTGCTCCTCATAAGAAATACAGAAATGCAAATAGTTCCAAATTGTACGGTTAATTACCTTACCATAAAACAACATCTGTAATTCAGGTGCTGGAAGCATCACAATGGTGTCCACAGGAATGGCCTGTTGGTCTCTATATCAGAAAAATCCTGGATCAATGGATCATTCACCGTATGTAAAATGCACTGGATTACTGCTAAATATAGGCACAGCTGCAGAATAAATATAAGGGGAAAATGGTATTTCAAAACATTAATTTTTTTTCTTGTGGCTGATATTTTACTCTATATTTGACCTGTACTTCTACATGTTTGCCAAAAATACTTGATTTATTAAAAGTCAGTACTGTTAATTAGCTATAAGGGAACAGAGCAGGCTACACAAAGCAAAGCTTTGAATTTTTTCTTCTTTTTTTAAAATACTGAATAAGGGCAACTTGTGATATTTTCTGTGTTTTTACAGTATATGTTAGAGAGGCCTTTGTGGACTACAATAATCCTTTTTTCTATTAACTATGTAACTTCAAAGTTCACTCTGGCATTTCTCATACACTTGACAATATAGGGTCAGGAAAGGAGGCACAAACTTCGTTGGAGGGGTATGAAAACTGCATGAATTCTCATTCAAAGCAGGGGCTGCAGATATTCAGTCTCTAGAGCATTCACAGCTATCTTAAAGGAATACAGTTTTTCAGCACAGAGTGGCCAACACAACCCCATTTTTCCTGTGTTTCCACAACATCCACTCTGGAGCAGTCTGATTTGCCCTGCCTGTGTGTTCAGTGTGCATTCACCTTCTGCCCAACCTGATCCAAAAATTTCTTTCCTTCCTGCTTTAGTGTATTTACCCCCAAAAGCAGCAGCAGCCTGCAGCTCAAACATAAATGATGCAACTGCAATTAGAATGCTGACAGGTCTAGTGTCAGCTGTAAAGCAGAGAAGATACCAACTACAGTGTTTTA